CAGGGGCTCAGACGTTCTGAACCATGCCACCAGTATGCCCAGCCTCAGAGGCTGATTGTCCCAGGGCCTTCTAATTTATGGCCAGTCCCTTGGAAAGTTACAAACATACATCGAGTCAATGACCTATCTCCACATGATTCATTTTCATAGAAACTTTCTACTCATCATCCTCGATTATACAGATAGTTCTCAACTTAAAGCAGTTCTTTTAGTGACCTTTTGAAGTGACAATGGCTTTGAAAAAAGTGACTTACGATTGTTTTTCACACTTACGACCTTACAGCATCCCCATGATCAAAATTAAGACTCTTGGCAACTGGCTCATATTTATGACAATTGCAGTGTCCCGAGATCATATGATCCCTTCTAAGAAGCAAAGTCAATGGGGCGGCCAGATTCATTCAACGGCCGTGTAACTAACATAACAACTGCAGTGATGAACTTAACAACTGTGACAAGAAAGGTTGTAAAATGGGGCAAAATTCACTTAACAAATATCTCACTTAGCAACAGAAATTTGGGTCTCAATTGTGGTCGTAAATCGAGGATTACCTGTACTTTTCCCATGATCTACCACCTCAGGTTGAAATCTGTGCATGTATCAATTGAAGTGGAAGCATAAGGAAATTCCGCTATGTCTACTTGAAACAATTACGTTAAAATATTACTGAGATGTAATAAATCAAAAGTCACACTAACATTCTAACTGATGGTGCTATCACACATCCTGTTTCCGAAATACTTTTTTGCTTTTCCCCTTTCACGTAGGCAGAGCCTAAGTCAAATATTTTGTCACCCATCAATCTTCACCCTTGCAGGTACTTCTCTTTGTAAACAACATGAAGCCCTTCTCACAGAATTTTCCTGCAAGTCAGAAATTCTTTAAAATCCCCAGATTTTTTTCTGAGAAGAGACTTACGATATAACCCATGGTGGGAAATACCTTAAGCTGTGGGCTAATGCAAGTAGCTGAAGTGATCATGTTTCCTTCTATTGCTGAAGAGCCATGTCTGAATGCACTCAAGTAATGAATGTGGCATTGATAAGAATAGTATTGTTTTTCATGGGCTTCCCTGCCGGTTTCTATGGGGACAAAGACGCATTTCCCGTTTGAGTGCTATTTGCTGCCCTCTGATTGCACTTTTGTGGTTTCATTCACCAGTAATGGGAAAGCATTCATAGACAGAATCGCTTCCCCTTTTTAAATAGCAATGCTTCAGGCTTGATTGTTTTCTTAAGCATTATACTAATGCACGGTTCTATCTGATAAATGCATAATGCTGTCTTTTTAAGCGTCTGCTGCATCTCCACTTTCTGAATTGAAATGATACACTGTAATTACGCTGTCCTTGGGAAGAAGCTTTACATTACATAGTAAGTTTTTATAAGGCGGGTCTTACCTCCCGGTGAAAGCCCACATTTATCAAATCTCAATGCTGTCATTCCCATAGCTAGAGTTGGAAGAGGAAGACATGAGCAATTGCTGGAAGTCCAGTTAGAGAATTTGTGGTGCCGGTAACTAGCTGCTTGAAGTACGACTGGAAGGATCTTGTCACCTCAGCTCATACCGTAGGCTTTGACGATTACTGGCAGTGTACATTTTAACTGTATAACTGTTGACGGCATTTGTCTAACTTGGAAGTCTGGTACAGCTTCTCCAATTCTTTGCACACCGTACACCATTTGGAGAAACGAGCAAATTGAGCTTGCATTTCTTGACAAGCCCTTCTTGACAAGGGCTGTAGGGATGGGAGATCTCCTGGGAACTCAGGTGCCTTTTGGCCAGACTTGGAAAGTTGAAAATATCTCCTTTAAAAAAAGACAACGAAAAAACAATGCTAAGGAAAAGTCATGGGTGCAGTTGCCAGGAATCGAGCTAGATAGGAGGGTGTCTTCATTTTTTCAGGTTAGCAGTGCCCCCTTGGCATAAGTAGAGGACATGGGGAGAGACAGGAGCCAATCTATTTGTTTGGCTTTTGGAGAAGAACCTTATTCTTTCCCGTTTTTTTTTTCCTCTCTCTCTCTCTCTCAAAGTTGGCTAAATGTTACCTTGCCGCATACCAATTACAAGAAGGTCAAACAAATCAGCACTCTGGATTGTTGGCTATTAGTTCTGACTTCATGGTTGCACCTTATAGCAACAATTTCCCTCAATTAATGCAACGCTTGCTGGAGGAAGGTCTCGATCTTTTCTGGAAACTTATTTGTTATTTTTTATAATGGATAGAATGTGTATGTGTGGGGAGGGGGGGGGAGAGAGAGAGAGAATGTACGGGTGTAACACAGATGTTGATCCTGGTGTATTTGCTTTGGTCTCATCCATTCAGCGGGATAAAAACATGGCTGCTGCTCCTTTGCTTGATCCTGCCGGCGATTACAGGAAAACAAGTGGATTAATGCCAGCTGTTGTTCAGTGGTCTAGTTTTAAACAATCTGCTCTCTCCTAAATGCAGGTCCTCAATTCTTAAATACAGGAGATGATTGCATTGTGTATTCCCCCCCCCCCCCCGTTTTTATTTTGCTGGTACAAATCCAGTGCAAAGATAGTAGCTATTGCAGCGGGCATTGTTGAAAGAGGCAGCAATGTAACAAAGGAGCACCCTCTCCTTCGTCAACCTCACAGTAATGTTTGGCATCAGATGTCTTGGAGGAGAGGGAAGAGCAGAGAAAAGAGGAGAGGGAGGGACATTTCAACAGAATTTTTATCTCTGGGAACAAAATCGGAAGAAGGTAGAGGCCTGGGGAAAGTTCTTTTTAAAGCTAACCAAGGCGAGAACAATAAGGGAGAGAGAATGACTGCACAGCATGTTTCTGCCATTCTTTCCAGTCCTTTTACCAGTGGGCGCCCTAGGAAATATCTGAATTTTGTTCTGGGTAGTTGAGCACATTGCCTTTCACTCTGTGTGGGTTTTTTGCTCCCTTCCTCTATTCTGTGTGTGTGTATGTACATTGTGAAGGGCAGGGTAAGCTGTGTAAGCCTACAACCACAATTGAGCCCAGAATTTCTGTTCCTAAGTGAAATATTTGTTCAGTGAGTTTTGCCCTGTTTTATGACTTTTCTTGCCCTAGTTGTTAAGTTGAAATCACTGCAGTTGGTAAATTAGTAACACGGGAAACTGGTTTCCCCATTGACTTTGCTTGTCAGGTGGTCACAAAGGGTGATCCCATGACCCCTGGACATTGCAACCGTCATAAGTGTGCCAATTTTGATCATGTGACCACGGGGATGCTGCGATGGTCATAAGTCACTTTTTTCAGTGATGTAACTTTGAACGGTCACTAAATGAACTGTTGTAAGTCGAGGACTGGACTTACATGCTGGAAGGTATAACTAGGAAGAATAAGCATTAGATAAGAGTGAAGCCATCAGTCACTGTCCATCTGCCTATCTCGTTATTATTATTTTTTTCTGGGAAGTTGTTCTCTGTAGCCCCAAGATGGATCTGATTTGTTTTCCAACTCACTTTTTTGTTGTTGTTGTTGATTTTTCCTACTGTGCAAAATTTGATCCTTTTCTGATCAATTTTTGGAGAGTTACCCGTCTTTTTGATGGACCAACAAGGATTTTAAGGCCCTTTGCATGATTTCTTTCCGACAATCCATTCCGGGGGGGGGGGAGATGTGCTGTGGTTTCTGGTATTGTTTCATGCAATAATAGGCAATTCATTGTTGGTGACAGTGTTAAAGGTTAATTGGTATTTAATGAAAGGGACATACATAAGCAATCCAGAAGCTGCCATTGGAAAAATAGATTTATAATAAACCTCTGCATGTTTAATGTGATACGTGATTTCGTTTAAGTGAATGAGTACACTAAGGATTATCCAGCCTCTATACCTTTTAGGGATATTTTATTTTCTCAGGGCTAGTAGGAATGGTTATATTCCCAAAGAATTGATGTTCAAGATTGAGATCAGCGGTAATAAAGTTGGTTTGATTTAGTGTAGTAGTACAGTTTTTGTAGATACTGAGCTCATACACTTGGATTTTACGAGACCATCATTCACGGGGACTAAGAGCTGTTTACTGATTTCTCAAGCATGGGGAAAGCTCTAACTCAGTTATAAAGCACAGGCTTTGCTTGCAAAAACTGCCAGATGTTATGCTTGACATCTCAGAGTTAGCTTACGTGCGACCCAGCAGAGTGACTGACTGTCACCTACTACTGACAGTATTAAGTAGATAGAATAACCCTGACTTGTATGATTTGAGTGAAAAATCTGACTGCACTCTCTTTCTTTATATACTGTATATACTTAGAGATGTACATCTCTTATCTTTAAATTAAAATGTAATATGTTTTTAACCATATGCTGGCGGTGAGTCAAATGAATTTGTTTCCAGAAAGGATCCAGTTCATGAGTGCGCTTAGTAGACAGTCAGCCTTCCTTGTGCATTTATCTGAATGGATAATTCAAGGTGGGACTTCGGGCTATGCTATAGAGATGGCCTAGATTTGCAGATTTCCCATCTATTTTTGGAAGTAGCTGGACAGGGTTCATAAATATGATGGGTCGCCATATAATTTTTCTAAATAAGTGCCTGAGAACAGTGGAAATCGAACATATACCACGTTTTGTATGACACATCTTAATGGGAGTATTAAATGCACAAAAGGATAAGCATGAAGATTTATGGGGACAATATGGAAGACAGGTTCAGATAAAAAGACACGTCCACTCATAGAATAGAAGCTATGGGGTGTTACCATTTACAAAAAATAACCTAGTCAGATTGCTACTTGATATGCCCTCTGCTTTTAACCCAGATCTAACCCAGAACATCCCCTGATACCCATGCTTTTTCCAGAATGGGGATGTTCTTCAGAGTTACAGCTACTGCTCATTTGTTTATTTTCTGGATAAAACAAGAGGATAGGGAACCCGATGGGTATCATTATGCCTCCTAGCCTGAGTCAATATTCTTGCCTTTTCTTTGATACCATGTATGAGTCATTGTCACTGAGTCTACCCTTTGGTTTGTTATTTCTTGTTCTGCAGGTCTAGAGTAAAACTGGAGAGCCTTGAGGACGCTTACATATTGCGAGGAAATGACGACTCCCTTTCTGACAAGCACGGATGTCCAGCCTACGTGAGCCCAGAAATCCTGAACACAAACGGCAGCTACTCCGGCAAAGCAGCGGACGTGTGGAGTCTAGGGGTCATGCTGTACACAATGCTAGTTGGACGCTATCCATTTCATGACATTGAACCAAGTTCTCTCTTCAGTAAAATCCGTCGTGGGCAGTTCAGCATTCCAGAGACTTTGTCCCCTAAGGCGAAATGCCTTATACGTAGCATCCTGCGCCGAGAGCCCACAGAGAGGCTGACTTCGCAGGAAATTCTGGACCACCCTTGGTTTTCCACAGATTTTAATGTGTCTAATTCAGGATATGGTGCTAAGGAAGTAACGGATCAGCTGGTGCCTGATGTTAACATGGAAGAGGATTCTGATCCATTCTTTAACTAAGCGTCAGGACTGGTAATGGTAATGCATGGTCCAGAAAGGACAACGTGAAGGGAGACCTTTCTGAAAACGCAGAATTATATCTCTGTCTCATCCTGGCTTGATAGCAAAAAAAGGACCCACTTGGAAGAAGCTTTTGTTTTGATTTTTTTTAAGGCTGGGGAAGGAACGCTCAAGAACCAATGTAGCCCATGAACGGTTAAACAGGAGGAATTGTTGCTATCAAGTTAGACTGGCATTGAAAAAAAAAAAAGGAGGCAGCAGCACAGAGCAGCTGTAGTAGCTTCTCGTCTTTATGGAGCCAAGGACACTGCACACCCAACGTTTCTGATGCAGCCACCACTACACCATTCCTGATTCCATTTCATTCAAACACTTACGATTCCCCGTGGACAGGAACTTGTATTTTGGCATCGCACTGTTAGATATTTAACTTCAGCCATTATTCAGGGAAGGTACAATTAGCTATTATTTTGTTCCTTTGTTTCCTGTTTTCAGAATCGGATGTTGCCAGTGGGCTTCATCTTTAGGAGGGCAGGTGGGAAGCGCACAAAGGAAGATACGAGAAGTGAATGCTAAACAAGGTTTTGGAACATGTCTCTGGATTCCTAGTTTTAAATTGACAGATACAAGTTAACACTTTTGGGGAGTAACGATGTTTGGAATGTTTTATTTCTTTGGAGAGAAAAAAATCTCTCCTAAATCAGTTGTATTCGGATGTTCACCTCAGAACCTACAGAAGACTCTTTGATCTAGTGAGGGCTTCTCTGCGTGACAAACAAGTTTGCTGATGGAGCAGTCCCTCTCCGCTTGCCAATTGAGGGGATAGTCTTGAAAAAATTATACAAGAAACTATATAGTAAAATAAATCTGTAGCGATGACTTTCCCCACCTTCCATCGATAGCAGTGTCCACTGGATCAAAGAGCTTTCTGTAAGCGGAGTAGATTCAGTTGAATACAAGCTGTTGGTTTGGTGGGCTTGTTTTTGGGTTAGAGCTTTTATTGCAGGGAGCCAGAAATCAAGACTTTTTCACCATGCTAGCAAAAGACACTAGAATTGTCTTCTTTGGTTTTTTTCAAAGACTGTTGAAATACTGGCTTTCACCTTGGCTTTCATCAAGTTGACCAGGTGGGGCGAGAAGGATCTCCTTCGGATTATTCAAAGAAGGAAACAAATTTGTTCTTAGAACCAGCTAAGTCTCTACATGACCTGAATATGAACAGAAGGTGGATCTTTCTGAAGTGAGACGTATATGCCACCTACCCCTGCCCCAAATATCTTGGTAAGGCAGTGGCTTAGGTTCTCCTGCTTTCATTTTTGACTTACAAACAAGGATGCTCTTTTATTTTTCTGTTTATTCACCTGTTAATAAGCTGAACATTGCTGGGACACAGACCTGTCTCCTGAAAAGTACATTGTAATATGCACCTTTTTTATTGTCAAGATTTTATTTATTGATGAATCTGTCACAGTTGTGATGAATTTAAGCCAGTACTTCAATTACGGGTTGACTTGGGGTGACATGTTACATGCTGTAGTTAACAAACTTGTATTTCTCTTCAGGTATTCCTGTCCCTGACTGACATATTTTAAACCCCTTCCCTCCTGCAATTCCACCCCTTTGTTAAAGCTTTCCTGTTGATTTAGACTGGCAAATGATTTTTATTACTGCTTTTATATTGCTATATGACATTGGAGGAAACCGCGGAAAACCAACACATCTTTTTTTTTTTTGGCATAGCTATTTGTGTTTCCAGTACCTCAGCTGTTCTGATGTTACTGCCTGTATGCGTTTTTGTGAAGTGGTCCTGTTTTTTGGATAGGTACATGTGGACTCTGTAGTTTGTAAATGTTACTTGAATTTTGTGCTTAATTATAGTCTGTGGCATGTGCGTACAGCTACTTGGCATTTGACGTATGAATGCTCTTCGCCTGCCCTGCGGGAAGGTTTTTGATCCCACTCGCCGAGATGATGGTTCAGAGTTCCTTAATCAAGAGACAAAGCTGCAGCTAACCTGCCTTGCTTCTATTTTGGTATCTAAGAATATAAAAGAGTTAACGTTTTTACACTCTGAAGATGGTGCTGTGTTGAGGGACTACTTCTTCTGTTTGTTTGTTTTTCTCCAAGCATTTATTTTATAAACTTGTAGGAAGAAAGATTGGTGATGTGCATGGTGGGATTTTACTGCCTCTGGTGCTTTTGTCTTGTATTTGGTTTAATGTTTTTGTCCTAATCTCTTCAATAAACAAAATTGTGCATATTTAACTAAACATAACTTGTGATGGCTTTTTTCTCTCCCCCCCCCCCAAATCCTATACCAACCGTGGCTAATTTCAGGGAAAACATTGCTCATTGCCTGTTTTTAGGATAGATACTTATTTATTAAATGTATATGCAGCCCATTGTACTATTAAGGGACTCTGGATGGCTCACAGCTTCATAAAATAACATATAAAACAATTAGAATGTTAAAAGTATTGAAAACATGGAGCATTAAAAGTTAAAACATTGAACAACAATGGATTTAAAAGAGACCAGTACGTCAATAGAATATCGAGTGGGGGAATCATCTCCTAATCTGCTAACCACCTCCAGAATGCGACATCCCCATTGGGGCCCCATACGTTTACCCCATTTTTGTTTAAAATTCTGTCTCATTGGATAACTTTCTTACCGAAGCAAGATTCATTCAGCCTAGAAGAATCACCCAAGGAACTAACCAATCCTTGCAGTAAGATATGTGTGGATGACCGGAATGGGACAACTTGCCACAGCCAACTCATCACAACCAATTTGCCACAGTTAACTTGTCACAGCCAACTCACCACAGCCAATTCACCACAGGACAACTCGCCATGACCAACTTGCCGCTGAACAATTCAATTTAATTATTTAAAATAATTTAAAAATTATTATAATTTTTGTCATACACATTTTATTTTGTCCCTCCTTTGTCCCCCTTCCTTTATTATATTCCACCATTTCTTCAATATTGGTGTAACTCTTGTTCCTCAGCAAACTGTCCTGTGGCGAGTTGGCTGCAGTGAGTTGTCCTAGACCCATGAATGGCAGTCCCATACATTATATTTGTCTGTATTACATTAAATTCAGAGAGTTTTCCTTCTGTGTAAAAATGTCAGCCTTTAGTACTGTAAATAGCCTCACATGGAATATAAAAGTGTGACTGGAAGATACCTTTACTGGTACCCAGTTTCCCCCAAAATAAGACATTCCCTTATTTTGGGCTTTTGAGCACATGGCAATAAGGCCAAGCACTTGTTTCAGGGTTCAAAAAAATATAAGACAGGGTCTTATTTTCGGGGAAACACGGTATCCCTTTGTATCATGTCAATTTAGTTCTTGAATACTCAAGCAAAAGATAACTCTAGGCAGGAGTGGGTTCTAAGTTTTTTTACTACCGGTTCTGTGGGTGTGGCTTATTTTGTGGGTGTGGCTTGGAGGTCATGTGACTAGGTGGGCGTGGCTAGCTGGTCAGAGTCATTTCTGGAAGGTCCTCGCACTTACGACCAGTCCTTGCACTTACGACCTGACTCATTTGTTTGCTTTTAACACTGATCAGCTATAGGACGGCCCTTTGAAGCCCCACGGCAAGAGTTTAAACAGTTTTTTTCCCTCTAGTCATCAGCTGGGACTCAGGAGGCAGCAATAGATTGGGGGTGGGACCAAATAAAAGGTAAGAATAACGTGGGGGGTTGGGAGGGCGGGGGTGGAGAACCGGTTCGGTGATGTCATATCGTCACCGCTACCGGTTCGGCCGAACAGGGAGGAACCCACCACTGACTGTAGGTAAGTAGAATAGTATTAAACCATGCACTTGGGCAAATTGTTGGAAAATACAAGAATTTTTTTTCGGAACCTTGGAAGGCCAGGACCAATCCCTGAGTTAAAGGGATTGATGGCTCTGCTCCATGTAATTTACGTAAATCTACCTGTAAGCTGAGTTAGGCAACGTGTTCAGCCTGTGGTTCATTAAGCAATTTTCTGCCCTGCTTGAAGGATCTCAATTGCTATGGCCAATCCTGCTGCGATACCACTAGCAAGAATAAAGTCAATATTATCGGACCTATATTTAGTGTTAAGGGGCTTAGGGAGAATACGGAGAAAAATCAGGACTTTAAAGAGGCTTAAGATACCCATTTTGCAGTTTAAAGCCGCCTAATGGGAAATAGCTGCTCTTCTTTGGAGAAGGACTTAAGTTTAAAGGAGTTTAAATTTATAGTCTTTTCAGTCTACAAGTTCGTGGCATTCATTTAACCCTTTTATGACACACCCACACCCACAATGCAAAAACAGGCTCTAAAAAGAGCCTTGGTAGTACAGTGGTCTAAGGCACCCTCTTATTAAGCTGGTTATTAAGACCAGCTGCCTGCAATTACTGCAGGTTCGAATCTCACCAGGCTCAAGGTTGACTCAGCCTTCCATCCTTTCTAAGGTAGGTAAATTGAGGACCCAGTTTGTGGGGGCAATAAGCTGACTTTGTATAAATATACAAAAGGATGAAGGCTATTGCTTAACGCATTGTAAGCCGCCCTGAGTCTCCGGAGAAGGGCGGCATATAAATCAAATTTTTTTTAAAAAAAGGTGAGCTTTACCTATCCTGGGCTGCAACTGAGGTATTTGGGGTGGCACCAAACCTATGGGACACCCTGGCTATAAACTTCAAAAGCCATATAGTCCTTAAGTCACACTTGAATAATACAATATATGTACTGGATATTTCTACGTATAACAATGTTTCATGAGATTAAAACCTGCTTCAAGATGTCGTTTGGGACTCTTCATCCCCTGGGTTCTGAACATAACCATAACCGCCCTGAGGTCACATGACTGCATTTTGGGTTCTTGGCACCTGATCCTATTTATGGCCGTTTGCAGCATCCCAGGGTCATGTGACCATGATTTACATTTACCGTTTTTCAGCTAAAATGCCCCATAGCGAACAAAATAGGTTTACTCAGTGACCACGGTGTTTGCTTAAAGGTAAAGGTTCCCCTTGCACATATGTGCTAGTCATTCCGGACTCTAGGGGGCGGTGCTCATCTCCGTTTCAAAGCCGAAGAGCCAGCGCTGTCCAAAGACATCTCCGTGATCATGTGGCCGGCATGACTAAACACCAAAGGCGCACGGAATGCTGTTACCTTCCCATCAAAGGTGGTCCCTGTTTTTCTACTTGCATTTGTTACATGCTTTCAAACTGCTAGGTTGGCAGAAGCTGGGACAAGTAACGGGAGCTCACCCCGTTAGGTGGCACTAGAGATTCGAACCGCTGAACTGCCAACCTTTCGATCGACAAGCTCAGCAGCTTAGCCACTGAGCCACCGCATGTTTCTTAGTGACTGCAATATTTGCTTTCTGACTGCTTCATGTGAGAACTTCTGTAAAAAAAAAAGGTAAAGGAAAATCAGGTCGTTCACATGATGATCCACTTTATGACCATCACAATGTATGACTATAATTGGCAGTTTCCGTTATGGACGTAAGTCAAGGAGTGCCTGTAGCTATGTTTTTCTCCAGTGTTTTCTCTGGAGGAGCTTTTGACTTAATTGTTGACTCAATATTTCTCCTTAAGAGTAGCAGTTTAAAAATTCACCTACAGTATATTTAAACTTGGACAGGAATTTTAAAATGCAACCAGAGTTTCATCTACTTTCCAATTCAACTGCTACAATAAGTATTTATCTAATTTATATAGCTGCCCGTCTCGCAAATAAGTGATGCTGGGTGCCGTACAAGTGTGCTTTTTTTTTAAAAAAAAGATGTTGGCTCCTTTCTGCTTTTTGAAGAGCAGCTTGCGTGAGAGTATTTGAATTTCCTTCCCATTCCCAGTTTGAAGAGAATGAGAGATTATTTGCACCTCCCTGTTTTCCAACATTTCTTTAGTCCACCTACTTCTTTGGAGCCTCTCTGGGTAGCTTCTGTTTTATTTGGGTGGAAATAGTTCAGAGTATTCATGTTTCCTCTCCACTGCCAATAATTATGTAAAAATGCGGCTGACTAATAGCTGTTCATTTGCAGGGAACTGCATTAAACATTGAGGCCTATTTTATGCTGGAGTGAAGAAAAGGCTTTTGCCTCAAGGAGCCAATTTATTAATAGGAGACAGATTGTAAAAACCTTCTTCTCCACGTAGGCCGAATGTACCTATTTTGACACATGAAGGAGATTCATGTTTCCATATCCACAGAATAACCAAAAATAATAACTGGGGGAAAAAAGTGAAGAAGTTCAAATGTCATTGCTGAGGCAAAGTAAGCATTATCTAACATAGATGTATAGGAGGATTGGATACAGGTGGTCCTTGACTTATGGCCACAAGTGAGCCCAAAATTTCCATTGGTAAACGAGACAGTTAAAGGACTTTCATCCCATTTTATGACCTTTCTTGATACAGTTGTTAAGTGAACCACTATAGTTGTTAAGTTAATAACACGGTTATTAAGTGAATCTGGCTTCCCCTTCTGACTTCCTTTGTCAGAAGGTCACAAAAGGTAATCACATGACTCTGGGACACTGCAAATACATGTCAATTGCCAAGCGTCCAAATTTTGATCACATGACCAAGGGGATGCTGCAAAAGTCATACATGTGAAAAATTGTCATAAGTAACTTTTGTCCAGTGTCAAATGGTCATTAAACAATGCTTGTAAGTCAAGGAATTACCTTTATTTACAATTTGTCTCATTCTGGAAAACTGGTTTTTATACGCAACAGATTTTCTGTTTATCAATACATAAACTCTTATGAACGGTAAGCCGCCCTGTGACTCCAGAGAAGGGCGGCATATAAATCAAATTTTTTTAAAAAAAAAACCGGTATAATGTAGATAGCTAGATAGAATTCTTTATTGGCCAAGTGTGATTGGACATACAAGGAATTTGTCTTGGTGCACATGCTCTCAGTGTATGTGAAAAGAGAAGATACATTCGTCAAGAATCATAAGGTACAACACTTAATGATAGTCATGGGGGACAAATAAGCAATCAAATCATACTAGGAAACAATCATGTATAAATGTTTGCAGAGTTGGAAGTTATTTTGACTGAATCTCTGAATCAAAATTATTCGTTTTATTGGTTGAACACTTATGTGAATGTAGAAATACTTTTTTCCAAATGAAACAAATGTTTCATTTTGAAGCAACATTTTGAACAGGATGAGGGATTATTTGCACACCCATAATGTATAATGGGATGCATACAGTATATATATATGCATGTGTGTATAGATAGATAGATATATGTGTGGGTGTGGGGA